GTGGTCTCAGGATGTGGCACCCACCCCACCCCCCCCAGTCACAGTGGGAGTGGGGATCCCCAGCCCTACCCCTCCAGCACAGCCCCAGGGGGGTGGTTCAGGAATCAGGACGGTCTCCTCTGGCTTTAAATAAAGCTTTTTCATTTTATTAATTATTATAAGCATATTTTTAAACATTTGTATAACTTTCTTAATAAAATATCCTGGAAGAGACAGGTTTTAAGTTCCCAAAGCAAGGCACTTTGGGGGGCCTCCCCAAGTGGGTTAGGCTGGGCACCCCCCTTCAGAGGCAGAGAAACAGCGGCACCTAAAATACAGGCGAGTGTTGGGGTGCTGGTCCCTGCTCTGTGCACGCACACACGTGTCTCACACACACAAGTCCTGCCAGCCCCCACCAGCCCAGGGGCTTTTAGCATCTCTGTGTGGGGGCTGTGCCAGTCCCGTCCCCCTCCCCGCACGAGCTCTTTCGCTCCAACCATCACCGCAGGTGCCAAAACCTGCAAAGCCCAAGAGCTGCAAACATCATCCGCACACGGTGCTGGGAGCTCCAGCGAGCGAGAGCTGGGATCCCTCCAGTGCACGAGGATCCCTCCAGTGCACGGGGATCCCTCCAGTGCACGGGGATCCCTCCAGTGCACGGCGAGCCCGAGCGCGGAGGCAGCCCAGTCCTGCCAGGCAAAGCTGGAGACGTTGGGTTGAGTCCCACCTTCTCCTCTAAGTTTTGACTCTCAACTTAAATAGCTGCTAGAAGACCCCGGGGTGAGGGTGGGTGCTGTGGGTGCCGTGAGCCCAGCCTGGGGGCTGGGAGCCCACGTCTGCCCCAGCTCTCACCCCATCGGCAGCGGTTCCAGCCACCCGGCATTGCTGTATCCTGGTTGTGCCCCGGCTGCCATCAGGTTTTCCATCATTGCCCACAGCCCCCCGGCTCCCACTGGCACTCCCAGAGCCAGCTGGGTGGGATGGCGGTGGGCAAGCTCCCAGAAACTCCCCAGGCTGGGGCAGGGGGTGACACACACACACACACACACCCCAGGGCAGCCCCGGGAGCATCCTGCACACCCACCCACAGCAGGGCTAGTGCCAGCCCCCCCAGCAGCCCCAGGCACTTGGGCTGGGGGGGGCAGATAAAGCATCTCTTCAGTAGAAAAGGAGAAAATAAGGCAGAAGAAGGACAGAGCAGAGTGCAGAGGGCACCCCATGCCGGGCCAGGGGCCTCCCCCAGTCCGACCCAGTAGGACCACTTGGCTGTGGTCAGCCCCACACAGCAGCGGGGACCCCCTCCCCCTGGCTAGGCAATAAGGTCTTGGTGTTTCCCATCCCCTCCCTCTCCCATGGCGCTGCTCTCCACCCCCGGCAGCGCCGTGGGTCCTATTCCCCCTACCCCAACCCCCGGTGTCACCAGGGCCAGTCCACAGTGATGGGGGGCCGAGGGCTAGAACTCAGTCTGCACCCCCTCACCACTCTCCGTCGTGCCTGTGGGCTGCAGGGGGCTGCATGGGCCACCCGGGGGGGCCACCTCCTCACCCGTCTCCTTGTCACTGGGCTGGTGGCAAGCCGTCCCCGTGGACAGTGATGGGGTCTCGGCTTCAGATGTGGGGGATGCTGGTGTGGCATGGGTCACCTTGGCCTCGGACGGGACATCGGCTCGGGGTTTGGGTGATGCCGGTGTGGCATGGGGCACCTTGGCCTTGGATGGGACATCAGCTTGGGGTTTGGGTGATCCCGGTGCGGTGTGTTGCACGCTGGCCCCTGACGGGACATCGGCTCTGGGTACGGGTGATGCCGGTGTGGCCCGTTGCCCCCCAGCCCCTGATGGGACCTCGGCTCCAGGTGCAGGTGATGCCGGTGTGGCACAGTGCACCCCATCCCCCTCACTGGCTGGACCTTGTTGGGGGACATCAGCTGGGACAGACCCTGCCACCACCACCACCACCACCTCCTCGGTGGCACCGCTCTCCTGTGTGGCATCGGTACCATTCGTCAGCCGCTCCTCCACCTCAACGCCATCCCCGAGGCTCTCCTTCGCCAGCGCCTCCCGGATCTTCTCCACCCCATCTGGGGAGCTCGGTGGCACCCCAGGATCTTGCTCCTCTGGCTCCTGTGGCTCTGGGGAGCTGGGCTGCAGCAGCGCCTCGGCGCCCACCTCGTAGGGCAGGACCCCCTCGTCGTCTTGGATCACCGACACCACTTGCTTGGCCCTGCGGCGCTTGTCGGTGTCCGGCTCGGCCTCCGGCTGCCCGCTGTACTCCTCGCCCCAGTCGATGGGGATGCCCTCGCCCAGGAGGTGCAGGTTGGGATCACTGTTGTGCATAACCATGCTGTCACGGTACAGGTTGTGCTTCCGCTGGACGGCTGCCTCCTTCACAGCTGGGGGCACCGAGAGGGATGTCAGATGGGCTGCGGGCACGGGGCAGCACCCCCCCAGGCTCAGGCACCTCTCCCAGTCCTCCCCTTGGGTGCAGGGTGCAGGGAGAGGTGTCTGGAGAGGGTTCAGCATCCCACCCGCTGCTCAGCCCTGCCAGCAGGAAGGCGAGGTGGAAAAGCTGCCCTGGTACAGCACTCTCCATGGGGTCACCCCCTCCTTGTACAGCCCCCCAGCACCCTGCACGGGGTCACCCCCTCCTCCTACAGCCCCCAGCACCCATCACGGGCCCTCCAGGTCCTGCTGAGCCCAGACTCGGCTTACATTGACTCAACCTAGCACCCACCAGCCACCCCAGGGTGCTGGACACATCAGCCCCTCCTCAAGCTCCCTGGCACCGCAGAACCCTACCTTGCATGATGTCTTTCATCACTGACTGTAGCACGACCTCCTCATAAGTGTTCTCCACCAGGATGTAGCTGGCAAAGTCCTCGAAGATCAGCTCCTGAAACTTGGCTAATTCCTGCCACAGGCGAGAGGCCACTCAGCCCG